GACAGGGGCAACCACAACCCCCCCCCCCCCCCCCAACCCAGGGAGGTGTGGGGTGCCCCCACAGTTGGGAACTCCTCAGCTGAGGTGTGTGAGACTGCCAGTTGTGGGAGCTTGCTGCTTGTTTCCCACACCCTCAAGGTGGGGGGATCACCAAGCTGGTGATACTCCTGCCCCGGGGGTTTGCTGGGAGGCACACTGCAGGGACCCGGTGTCTGCAGCTTCTGGAGCTGAGAGTCCCAAGTAGTTGTGGGACTCAGCCCTGGCTGAGCAAGTTTCCCCCCTGTGGCTGGGAACCATGTCAACTGATGGGGATCCCAGCCACAGAGGAGACCCTGCTGCATGCAAAAATTAAAGCTCAATAGTATCTATTTATAAAGTTGGTACATATTTTGAGGTCTAACTTTATAGCAAGTTGGAGTCTTTTATTGTGTGGCAGCTACTTTGAACGTGTAGCTAGTTTCCAGGTAATTGTGCAATACCTGTAATGTATAGAGGGAGTCTAGTAATCTAAGTTCAGTATTTCGGTTCACTTTGCATAAGATGAAAAAAAACCTCTTCTGTCAATTTGCATTCCCTTGTTAATTTGAACCAGGATTTTAAATGCAAGTATTTTCTGATGTTCTCATCTAAAACATGAGGAGTTTAAAAAAAAATAGCAAACAGTTAATATGGGCTGAAAATCCCCCCTAGTATTATTATTGGTATTTTAAGTCCAAAAACATATGGTTTCAGCCACTTGTAGAGAGTGAATTGCCCCTTACAATGGTTGACACCTTCTGTACCTTTTATAAGTAGTTTGTTTTTTTTAAAGGAAGAAAGTAACCTAGGAAGCTTTTATATTGTTCAGTATGGTAAAGTGATACCTCACTTAGATCCACCTTCACTAGCAGAGATTCATACCCTGTAGCCCTGCTGAAATATTTTCTTTTTGTTACTGCAGTGATTAATGCTACTGTTTTAGTTGCATTGATAGCTTATACAACCAACTCCATTAAAGACTGCCAGTACAGGGGGAGATTTTTTTTGCACTACATTTCCCAGTATGTTTGTTTGTTATATGCTCCCACTCACTCTGTAAAAATGTGGTGCTCCAAAAATGGGAATACTTCTGTACAATAAAGTTACAAAGTCCCAGGTGAGGTGGTTCTCTCTCTGACCTTGGGGTTTTCAAGAGGAGGCTGGATAGATATTTGGCTGGGGTGTTATGACCCTGCACTCGTTCCTGCCCAGGGCAGGGGATTGGACCTGGTGATCTATTTAGGTGCCTTCCAACCCTAAGCACTATGAAATTATAAAAGTCAGCAGATGTGCAGGCCTCCTTGGGCATCTCTGTCAAGTTCTTATACCTGCTCTAAAGGAGCAGTCTCTGAAAGGGAGAGTAGAGTGACCTCTAACTCTGCTAGGGTCAGAGGACCAATCATGGGGCAGGTTTTGGCATCTGTCTATTTGAAATGATACCGGGGTTACCGATCTTCCCACAGGGTTGGTGCGTGCTTGCACAGTGTTTGTGTTGGTCATTTCACATAAGTCACCAAACGGCTGACAGAGGGTAGCTGCTTTGAGCTTTAACTGACCTGAATGTTTTTTTTAAAACTAGTAACGTATAAGGAAAATCTCTGTATCTTGTTCCATGGGCCAGCCATTCTGAAGGGATTTTTTTGCTTGGTTACTCTTTTAAAAAACTAGTAAAACTAAAAATGTCTCTGGACTGTGCTAAGGGCCTGTCTGTCTGATAATAGTCTCTGTTTTACCTTCATGGTCATAAAGGATAGACCTTTTTTCCTCTGAATAAAGAACTCAACTTTTTAAATTTTTGTAACTTAATTGCATCATTTGCTTATATTATAAGCATCATTTAAATGCCCACAATTAAATTAAATTTGATTTTTTTTTTTTAAATGGTAGTTTTAAAGTAGGTTAGCTCTACATCTACTGTCCTTGTTTTCAATGAAAAACTACATATAAGTTCTTTGAGAATTGAATCTTTGGGAAAGTAGTGAGATTGGTTAGACAAAATGAACAGTGAGAAAAAGGAGTAGGTTTTTCTCTAATTATATCAGATGATCATTACGTGTAATGACAATGGGTTGGAATGTTTGAGAGAAATGATTTTTGCTTAATTTTTGATCGCTAAGTACTAGTATCACAGAACCCTGTCACTTATTTTTGAGCTCTGAAGTAATACTCATAAAGGAAATGCTATCAATTTCTATAGCCCCCATTTTTAAACAAAGGGTCATTTTGAAGTCAGTTTTTATGCTGCCCTGTGCTACAAGGGTGAACTGCCAGAAGATATTTAGTACATTTCTGGACTGTCCAGCAGGATACTCCTCCTTCCTTGCCCTTGAGTTTTAGGTGGTGCAGGAACCTACTCTGGATTCCTTTAAGAAACACTTGGATGCTTAACTTCCTGGGATCATTTGACCACTGCTAACTGCCTGCTCTTTGGGCAGGAGGCGGGACCTGATAATTTTGCGAGGTCCCTTCTAGCCCTAATGTCTGTGAAATCTGTGAAATCCAGAAATCTATGTGAGGGACCCAGTAGGGCTTCCAGAAGCTATACTGTGTTGCATTATAGTAAGATTTTTGGAGTCTGCAGCTCACACTATGGGATTTACAATAATAAGATCTAGTTCACTTAGCTGTTCCTTTCCCTTGAGTTTTCAGCTTTAGTGGCATCCTGTTCTGCCTAATTGAGATCAGTCAGGCATCTGCTATGCAGCTGGCATCACCCTACTTTTTCTGAATTTTGTGTGTAAAACGAGAAACTTGGGAGTAATCAATGGAAATTTAAGAATCTCTTGCAGTGAACTCTTCCACAGATCCCTTGCATGGGTCTAGGATTAAACTTTATTAATACAAGAATTTTATATCACCCACTTTTAAAATTGCACAAAAAAGGACCATTTTCAAACCAAAAAGCATTTTTGCTTAACTTCAGGGTGCTATAACAGAATATTACAATGAGCTCCAGCCAGGCTGAGATGGAAGACAAATGTATCCCTGTGCTCTGGGTCAAAGAAAGAACAAACAAGCTCAAAAGTGATATGAATGTATAGTAGATAATGCATTGTAATGAATTAACTGTATTTATTTTTTTCAGAGCCCACAGTTTGTCTCCAACAGATCATCTGGCAGCATTTTACCTGGCTCTGCAGCTTGCCATATCTAGACAGGTTAGTTCTACTTGAGGTGCATTAAATCTTCGCACTGTGACAGTCGTAAAGAAATTCTGATCTGTGCAAATGGCTCTTTACCACGTGTTTCTCCAACAGAACGATTCTTGCTTTTTGTTTTTTTTATAGCCTTCTGGAATGTGTGCACATTGATGTGATAGGTTTGTCTCTGCTTTTCAGTAGGCCTGGCATTGTAGCTGCCATCACTATCTGGGGTATTCCCTTAAGACAGGTGTCAAATGTAGTCCAGAGCCTGGATCCAGCCTACAGAACCGGGTTATCCGGCCCCCAGCGTTGATGTGGGACCGTCCCTCAGCAGCAGCTGATCATCTGTCAGACTCATGGCACTGTAAGCTTAGCAGCACTATGGCTTGTTCCTGCTGCTGTAGTCCTGCACCCACAATGCTGGGCTGCTTCCTGCAGGTGTTGTTGGTGCTCCAGTGCTGGGCAAGAGCAGTGGGTGCTTGCCAGCCAAGCTAGTGAGAGCTCCAGCAGTACCACAGGAAGAAGCCTGGTAGCAAGACGTATTCCCTCAGTGACAGCCAAGCGTCCAGGTCTGACCCATGGTGCTGTAACCCCAGCAGCCCTGCAGAAAGGGCTGGCATCGCAGGCATTTGGTGGCTGCTGCTGTGAGAACAAACCTTAAGTTTTGTTAAAAGTGGTTCTGTTGGGGCTCCAGCACCATGAGTTTTGACCAGATGCTTAGCTTCAGCCATAGGAGTCATGGTGCTGGGCTGCTTCTTTCAGTGTTGCCTCTCACTGACTTGTCTGCTACTCACCAGAAAGAGTGCAGCAGTGCTGGAGCCCCAGAAACACCACAGGAAGAAATCCAGCATCGTGACTTGTCCTGGCAGTGGCAGCCAAACACCTGGGGTGCTGGGCCCTCTTCCTGTTGGGTCCTGGATGGCTGGAGTGGGCACCACGTGTGCTGGATCTAGCATAGGGTCAGGCGGGGAGGGATCCATAGACAGCATCCAGCCCACAGGGCTGGCCATGCACCATCTATCTGTCGCTTAGACTGGTCACTAGCCATTAATTCAGCTTGTGGGGCCAGGTGAGTTTGACACTCCTGTCTTAGGAGATTGTATTGCACTTCATGTCATGTGTAGGCTGAGGTGAGAAATAAAACACAGATGAGAGTTTTCTTATTTCTTTTAAGGCCATGGAAAATGTTACCAGTTTGAAGGCTCTTCACTGTATGGATATCCTCTCTCAGAAATTGGATCATATCTGCCATGTAGAAGCATGATAGTGTTAGGTTCAGGCATGCACTCTGTTTTTTCAGTGCATGATGCTAATATTTTTTGTGCATGAAGAAAACTTGGTTTGGAGGTTGGGTGTTGTGAACAGTACTACACAAATCTGTTTAAAAATTTTTAAGAAGCAGCAAATATTTTAAAGCTATGAAAGGGGTTGGGGATCTGTTATGCTCTTATAAGAGAGCCTGCATTCTGTACTGTCTTTCACTTAAAGGAGTTAGGCTTGTATCTTGCACTGCATGAATCAGGATAATTCAGAATTGCTTTGTCTGCATCATGCTAAGCCTTTACCTGTGTCAAACTTTATTTTATTAAATTTTGAGCAAGGTAGTTTTACATACTCTACGTGATTACTTTTCTTTGCTAATGAACAGGAGAGACATCAGTGTATGTCACATTAGACTGGAATGAGAATATTTTTCAGTATATGGTTTCGACTTTGCACCAAAAAAACTTGAATTCAGAAATGCATTGTCATGATAGAAAATTAATGGGTTTTGTCAGTGCTTGTGACCTTTCTTTGAGGAAAAACACCTGCAGCTGAGGAGATCAGAAATTTACAGTAAAGCAAAAGCCATTTAGAAATCAGTAGTTCTGTTTTTGCTTTTATTTGGATAGGCTTGAATTGAGTTTAGAGTTAAAAATATCTTCAGAACCTCATTAAGAATGTATCATAAATTATGAAAGGAAGCAACAATATTTATCTCAGAATGAATTTGGTATTCTAAAGGTATGTTAAAATGTTTGACAGCAATATTCATCTCACTTTATAGGTTAGTTTATTACTTTGAAACTTCTACAGTTTGCTGTAAAATGTCAAGTTTTATGAAGTCCATTTCACGTTTGATTTAGTGTTTTTACAGGACTCTTTAGAATGTTGCATAGCATTGAAGTGTACTAAACTGCACGTACCTTGAATGTTTATATACATGCATTCAAATTGTAGCAAGCAATACTTCTCATAACAGTTCTCTGCATTTTAAATCAGATACCAGAAGCTTTGGGTTACGTTCGTCAGGCTCTTCAGCTTCAAGGAGATGATGCAAACTCTCTGCATCTCCTTGCGCTCTTGCTCTCAGCCCAGAAACACTATCATGATGCTTTGAATATTATTGACATGGCCTTGAGTGAATATCCGGAAAACTTTATGTGAGTATCTGAGATGGTAATTTGCATAGACCCTCCTTCTGCTTTTATTTATTTTGCTGTTCAGTATTTTCTACTGCACTTATTTTGAGGGAGGGCAGATTTGGAGACTTAACTTTTTTTGGTTTAGCTATATTTTTCCTAGTATGTTAAGGCTTTACAGATAATTCATAGTTGTTTCTTAGCATTTTGATTCTTTTTCTACAAATACTGGGGAAAAGCCTTGCGTATAGGTGATTTGATATTCTGTAGCATTCCGTATACAGATTTGTTTTGAATTTCTCCCCCTGCCCAGCTCCTCAAGAAGCATAACAATTCATCTGCTTCTGCATGGGGTCAGTTTGTATTGAGAACAATACAAATCAAATGACCTGTGTGGTACGCTTGAGAGCCAGTCAGTGTGCGGTCATGTATTCCACTACCCTTAAGGACATCTGCTCTGGCATATTTTAAGGATACAAAGACATCTACTCAGCTGCCCCTAGTGGTATCATATAGGGTCATCTTCTCTTACGGTGGCTTAAATGGCTGAGACACCCAGATTGCTTCTGAATGCTGGCAGATTTGTCCCTGATTTCTGAAGAATCCTTGGAGGAGAAAAAGAAAAACATTGGATTTGGAGCTCCACTGCTTTCTGAACCAAATTAATTTGAGATTCCCTTTGCTGTGCAGACACAGCTATTCCCTTCTGCTCTCTCAAAATAGTTACTTTTGCCTACAGCACTCTTGGGTTGCATCTAGCCCCTCTGTGTTGGAAGAGGATGGTGGAAGATTTTATTTTTTTTTCCTCCCTTGGACACCTGCATGGCGACCAGTCATTATATCAGGATTTCCCAGCATGGTGTATTGCATTCTACATATAATTAGATTATTTTCTATAGGGATTTACCCGCAAAGCTTTAGTTATGGCATCATAGAGTATATCTGACACTTATGTGAAATGGAATGTTTGGCCAATATTTTGAGTTTACACAAGTGCTTTGGATGTTTGCTGGCCTGATTTTTCCCTTTCAGCCACTGATAACAAACGTGATTTCCTCTCCCTTTCTAGATGCCTGTGAGAAGAGATCACTTTATACTGTCCTCTTCTCTTGTTTGGGACTGCATTTGCCAAGGTGCAAAGTGATTATGGCACTTCCTGCTACTTGTTAATATTTTAATCCTTTTTTTAAAACATTCAATACATTCAATTGTGCACAGGACAAAAAACCAATTTGGGAATATGCTACCAGTGTTACACCCCCCAAATCTACCCCCTGTTTTATAGACACCCTAATTTGTGATGTGATAAAGTAACAACCCCACTCCCTAGCCTTCTACTGAAAAACATACCCATTCAAAGTGACCTCCTCTCCTAAGAAATCAAAACCTTGCATTAGGCCAAAAAAAATATTTCATCTTGAGGGGGGGAAAAAAGGGGGGAGGTAGGGGGAGAAATAATGTGTGATGCTGGACTTTTTGTATCAGATCACAGCCTCTTCATTGCATGGGCATGCATTTCTTCATTTACTTGCTTTATTATTGATTGTCTAAATATGCCGTCTGACCACCTGAGAGTAGAAGGGGGAGGAAAACCTATGGAAACATGCAATAAAAATCCATCAGCCTTAACGCGTATTATGCGACTGTAGAACGCTATCCACAAGAAATCTAAAAGCAATATGCTTGACATCCTAATATAACTGCAAGTTATCTTGCTGATGACATTGGTGGAAAGTTGAACTCCTTTCATATCCAACAGTACTTAAAATGTTATCCTAATTAAAAGAACATGTTATATGTTAAAGAACAAACTCCTTCCCTGCTTCTTTTATTCATAGGTGTCAGAATTCAAAGGAATATATACAAAGGGACAAAACCTTATGTTGGCACTTTAGGTTTTGTTTTACTTTTCAAACTCAAATTTCTCAAATTCAGCAAGATCTCAAATGAAGATATAATGAGGGGATTCATACAAGTACCCTTACTTATCATTTTAGTTGATACATGCAGAGGCTTAACTGTGAGCAGTACTGTGCGCGCCACCCGCCCCCCCCCTTTCCCCTCCCCATTCCCGCACCTACCCAGCTCCAGCAGTGTGGGAGCAGCAGCCAGGGATTCGCTGCTGCTGGGGAAGATGTCACCTCTTTTGTCACAGGCATGTGTTGAGCAATCGGAAGAACACTGGTTTTTCTCCAGCAAAAAGGGGGTAACATCTCCCCCTCAGCTGTGGCTCTTGCACTGCAGCTGCTGCTTCTCCTCTGCGCTCTGCTACCAGAGCTGCTTCAGGGAAGGTGCTGGGGGAGTTAGGGGTGGCTCTTTAGACAGCCTCTGGGGCCGATGAGAGAACAGAACATTGGATTCCACAAAGGCTCATATATTTGTTAGATTTGTCACCCTTTCCATTTGAGCTGAGGCTTTTTGAGTAGTGGTTGGTGGGTGATTTAGGCATAGTGTACATGTGGAATAGTTTGCAGGTTTGAAAACATGTTCAAAATGATTTAGGGTGACCTTCCTCTTAAACTGCAACTGCATTAAGCACATAGTGGCTGCATTTTTCTCTCTTCCCTTCCTCCTTTACTCCACATGTATTTACTTTTAAAGCTGTTGTTTTGTGAACTACAGCTTTGTGAGACTTATGGTACTGATGTAAGAATTGTGGAAGTGCTAAGTGGAAAGCAAATGAAAAATATTTTGTTCAGTGCCAGGTGGAGCTGCTGTGTTCCTGTGTAGTTCATTTTCCAGTAGCTCTCTGTCCCCATCCTAACCATTCAGGATTTTACACAAAGAACTTTCCTCTGCTTCTGACTTAAAGTATCACAGCACTTGCCCCAGTATTATTGGCTAGATGAAGATCATCTAGGCTTAGATGCATTAGACACTCAGATGTTGGTGATGAGCCATGGCATAATGACTAATTGGGTAAGTCTCCAAAGAAGGTTCAATAAATAAATTAAGAGGCTCCCTTTATCTGATTGCAAAGAGCAGTTTTATCCTTCAGTTTGAGTCTTGTTTCCTCTTTTTGTTTCTCATAAAAACAAGCCAGCATGAAATTAGTAATGTAAATCTCTGTTGATTACTAGGAATTCTAGTAAATACTACAGAAAAGAAAACAAGGGAAAGAATAGATATTGATTCATATCCATTTTAACATTCTGTGAGGATCTTGTCTATTGTATGTGAAATCACAGTCCCAGAAAGAGAGAAGAGCTTAGGGTGAAAATCTTTTGCGCCAAATCTCCATATTAACAATTCTCAAACTCTCCATTCTCTTCTGACTAGGTACATATTGTTTGTGGCCCAAGCTATTTATAGTATGTAATCTTTAAATACCATTTTTTATTTATTCTGTTTCATGCTCCACCATTAATAAATAATCACTTGGTTAGGTGAAGTTATGTTTCTTAATGAAATATTTATAAAGTTGTTTTCTTCACTTTAGCTTTTTTTTTTACTTACAGTGTTATGTTACAGTTTCAACAAACCACTGTGTTACTGGAGATCAGCATGATTAAAGAAAAAGCTGCTTGGCACAATAAGCAATAAATAATAACTGCTAATATTATGCTTCAAATTAGTGACAACTCCAAGGGATAACAGCTGACAGGCCCTTCAGGTAGCAGAAGTAAGAAACAGAAGAAGGACTGTTTGAGGAATGCAGTTGTGTTATTTTAATGTTAAGCAGTAAGCTCAGAAAGGCACTTCTACCTATCAATAAGCTATGCTTGCCATATGACAGACAGCAACCTCTCTCTCCTCAGTCGCATACAGTTCTCATTTTTGCTGAAAGTATCAGCAAATCTGGAAGGATTCTTCCTCATCCTAACAGTATGTACAAACCAAACATATTTAACAAGAACAGGTTACTGAACACAGGTATCAGTAAACCCTGTTCATACAACTTTTCAGCTACTAACATTTACTTATTTATTCGTTCAATTTATACACCACTCTCCCCAACAAAGACCCATGGTAACAGGTTTGAAGACAACTGAAGTTCACTGTTTAAACATTTACATGTGTTGAAGTGTGGTAGAATTTTTTTCTTCTAAGGGTGTCATAAAATCATTTAAGAAAATGTCTCAACCTAACTGACAATTATATTTAATTTTTTTTTCCTAGTTCCTGAGGACTGTTTGAGGGATGCTGTTTTCCAGAGCCAGTAGTGTAATAGAGGCTTTTTAACCACTTCCTTTAGTCATTAGTCACAAAAAGTCCATTTGTTCTCATGGCTAGTGCCCCAGCCATCAGAATGTAATAAGTTGCTGGTCTCAGATGGCCACATAAAAAAGTCAACACTGGCATTTATTGACAGGCTGAGGGGCCATTGTGTCTGATTCGTATAGAACAGGGGGTCCTTGTGAGCTGGATCCAGACCATGGCAGCAGCCAGTGGCAGGCTTTAACACAGGCATCACTCACCCCCACTTCTGAGATGCATCCAAAGCGGCTTCATATTCTGGATTATGGCAATGGGGCCCACCCTTGTTCACCCTACCCCCCATATTCTTGGATCCTGTTGGAGCCCTGTGGATCAGACAACTTAATTCTTTATGCCTTATATTTGACACCCGTCATATGCAGGCTGAACTTCAAGTCTTCCCTGTGGTCTTTCTGGGTACTTTTATATCTGCTTCAGGGGTGGAGGGCAGTGATGCTTTTATTAGAACGGCTCCATGAGCCATTTTATTTAAAGCACCGCAGTGTCTCGTGCATCAGTGTCCCTGCGCTTCAAAGTGGCAGTGGGGGTGCTTGAACTTGGCAAATGAGCTTCAGTTCAAGGACCCTGACCACCATTTTGAAGTGCAGGGACACTGATGCACGAGATGTGGGAGTTCACGTTCCAGCAGACTCAATTACTTGAGTCTGCTCTGATGCCCTGTAATTACAGCGCGTTGGAGCAGCCTCCACACTCATGTACAGGCACGTGTTTTAGCTTCCATTTTTCTTCTCTGAATACAGAGAATTCTAGCTTGGGCAGAGGAAGGAAGTGAGGCAGAAACAGATGGCTTTGGATAGGAAATC